TTGGGTTTGCCCATCTCTGTGCAAGGGCTGGAGGGGTGCTGGACTTTTTCCATACACTCTTTTAGAGAAGCATCATGTAAATGGGACTTTGTCTGTTTCTCCCAACCCCTCATCCTAATTAAATGGAAAAAACATCCCGCGCTTGAAATGGTCCCAGATCTATAGCCTGAAGTAGTGCCTAGGCATAGTTAGATGGACTCGGTGTGGTGAGCAGGTACTCATACCATGTCCTGTTTTGGACCAGCAGCAGTGTCACAGCTGTTTCAAGGATCTGCTTCCTGCAGGTGCTGGTCAGCCCCTGCTGATTCCCTGTGCCAGCTAGTTTTCTCTTTTTTTTTTTTTTTTTTTTAAATATTTATTAGCAGCATTTAAAAAGAGTAATATCTACCTTTCAATCTAGGTGATATCCTATCTGAAACCAGTGTGGATGCTTTTTTCCACAGAGCTACCTTAGAGAAACTGGGTTCCAAACTCGGGAGGCACTAGTTAGGGAGGCTCGTTCTCTAATTCAGTGTCCAAATTCAACTTTACCTGAGAATCCCATTAAAGCCAGAATATTTTATTACCTCTGTATAAATCCCAATTATTATATTTGGAACTGTACAAGACTTTTCTGTATAGTCAGCCAAATAAATGTCACAGGACTGTAGAAGGCTGCAGGGAAGATGCAGTGCTTTCTTCTTCTAGGAAGAAGGTGGAAGAGAGAATTACCAGGAAGCAGCAAGAGAGAAGAGCCATCCTGGCCTGACTGAATCGAGACCCTGACTTTCTGAGTGGTGGAAAAGTTGCAGAGGAACACAACCAGGACACTGCACACAGTGTTATTTGTGATCTGTTCTCATATGTCATTAGGATATTTTCAATCTTGCTGCCTGGAGGCATTTTAACAGCAGTTTACCCACCGCCCACAAAATCCATTAGTTTAAACAATAAAAATGAGCCATTTGGCCACACAGCAACGGCCCTAAAATTGCTTTGGTAAGTGCAGATATAATGAACACGGAGACTTTGGAGCTGTGCGAGGATTGTGACAGATTTAATGGAAAATACAGCTGCTGCAAACTGTTCTCCGAAGGCCAACACCAGGCTTCCGTTTGCTTTTCCTGGACCACCCCATAGCTGGATAACCAGATTTAGCAAGAGGCAGGTACTGAACACAGAGCATATGTTTTCTAGGGTGAGTCTTCTAGCACGTGCCTGATAATGTTCACCTTGCATCTGGTACTCACTAAACTGAGCAGCTCCATGAAAGCCAACCACGAGCGGGACCACCACCATCTTCAAAAGCCAGCAGGTGTACAAGTGGCCCCTCATCCCTGCCTGGCACCCCTCTCCCTCGCCAGGGCTGATGGACCCGCGATGCAAGCGCTTCCTAACCCCATTCTGTTAAAATGACTCCACTAGAAAACTTTTCCCATTAAATGAATAAGCTCAACAACCAGGGATATTTTCATTTTTTTCATTTCCCCCCAGCCCACCCCAGAGTAATTTCCTCAGTGCTGGGGAGTGGAATTTTGTTTCCAGCCCATAGCTGCACACAGCTGTCCCACGAGGTTTATTGCTGAAGCAGGTGATACCAAATCAATGCTGCACTCAGAAGCGAGGTGCCTAGCTACCTTCCTCTGTCAGCTTTCCTACTTTATGAGCCTGTCAAGCTGTTTTTATTCACTCCTAATACAATCTTTCCGCAATACGGAGCTTGCATGGCTAGAGACGGGCAGGAGGCTGCCGCTGTTACCTGGGAGCTGTGATAAATTGCTCGGCAGCTTTCGGGGTTGCAGCAGCTGTGGGAGTGTTCGTCTTGACGTTTCAGAAACTTTGTTCACCCTCTGTGCTTTACGTGCATGTCACGGTGTGCAGTTACTGCCTTTATTTCAGGAGTGTGCCTGTGTGGAAGGAACCATAAAACCTGATCACTTAATCAGTGCATAAAACAGGGTGATTAATTAACAGTTGGTCCATGAGTAGCAAGAGCAGCACCAGTGTCTCACTGGACAAATAACCCCACATGAGCAGGCTCGATCATCTGGGAATCACTGTTCAAAGCAATTGCGTTTTTCTATAACTGGGATTGCATGGGATTATGGTATTATAAATGGGATTTGCTCTAAAGGCCAGTGGCTCTCTGTATATTATGGATTACTTAATCTTCTCATAAAAGAAATTTTGATAATGCTCCTTTAATGAGACTGCACTAAATTGAATTACATCCTGCCTTCCCCCTGAAGTGGAATCTTTTTCTATCGTACTGGACATGCACACAGAAGAGTCTTATGTATTCCTTTCCAGGGCGTGTGCATGACAAGACCTACACAGACAGACATGAGCCCAACCCTAAATATTAGTGAAACATTTCTGGTTCTTGTGGAGCAATTTTGGGCCTGAAGGCCTCTGCTCACCACCACCCATCACTCTGGCCCAAACAGTCCAGCTTTAAAACTAAAGATGGTAAATCCTCTGGGGACATTCTGCAAATTCTTTCTAAAACATTCGTACTCCAGGGCCTGCAAATATCACCAACGCTTTCCAGGGCTCTGATCCCTTTTGCAGAATTCCCTCCACATAGCAGTGATGGGAGGGAAAAGAGAATAATTGGTGACAGGCAATAGGATGCTCTGCAGTTTTTTTTCTGCTACTCGCTCAGAGTAGCAGGTGCCCCTTCATCACCCTGCATCCTCACAGGCGGCTTGTGAAGCTACCTGCCCAGGCTGTGTGCTTGCTGAACAGACATGCCCCATGGTCAGACAGCCAGCACGGCTGTGTCCCAGGCCAGCAGGCAAATCGGCCGAACTGGGGAGGTTTTGTGGAAGGTCATGGATGGGGAAGGACAAGTCAGCGCAACAGGGCTGGAAACTGCAGTCTTCTCTTAGCCGACGGCTGGAGCGACTCACCCACTGTGCAGCCCCACGGCAGCCACGCTTCATCTCGCTGGGGAGACAAAAGCTGCAGGTGATGCTGGAGAAGAGGCTGCTGTGGCTTGCCAATAACATGAGCTAACAAGAGGCTTTCCCTGGATAGATCTTGCTGTCTTTATTCTGCTCCTAGCTCTCTTTACTCAGTCTTGCTTTATCTAACCCCTTTGCTGTAGAGAAACAGTAATTAGCTTTTTCATGCAACACGCACCTCCAGTTTTACTCCATAACCCAGCTTATGGCCCATCAACCGATTTCCAAGCTCAACCTGAGGGGTCTTTGCTGTGAGCTGGGTACAGAGGCCACCTTGAACATCACCAGGTCTACTCACCCACCGTGGTCTTGCCATCCCTCAGTGGGCAAGCCCTGTGGTGTGGGTTACTGGGCTCTCCCCGTGCTGCAGGCATGCCCCTGTAGGGCCAGGGGCTGAAGGAAGCTTCCAGCTGGGCTTTCGGCAGGCAACAGGCAGAAGGTGCCAGGCTGGTGTGTAGGTACCACAGCCCACCAAAGACCTTGCCCCCTTCCTGCAGCTTTTGGGAAAAAAATCACTGGTGGTGCTGTTTTGCCCTTCCTGGGCATCCACTGTCGTGTGCCGCAGTACTGGGCTGGTGGTCTGGCAGCCTGGCAGGCTCCTCCTTGTGTTCACCCAGGAGGCACATCACAGGGCACTGATCTTGCCAGGAAGCCGACAGCAGCGAAGCAACACTGTCAAGAGAAGAACTTGCTGGCAAGCTGCTCCTGGGGACAGGCAGGGAGGCAGCAGGTTAGTCATTCACGCTGCACTCCTCTGCATCAGGGAGGGCGGCTGGTCGGCACAGAAACACAACACTACAATGGGGGCTCCTCTAGGAACATGTTTATTTACATTAAAACACTATTATACAAACCGAAAGAAAGGAAGAAGGAAAAAAAAAGAGACGACGCCTCAGAGGGGCAGATGTGCCAAAGTCGGCATCCCTCACCCCCCCCCTGCCTCGTGGCCCCCTTCCACTCTGGTCCTACTGCGAGTGCCATGATCCTTGTAGGAAGGATCCCTTCCCAACCCTCTCTGTGTGAACATCCATGTTTTCTGTTTAATTGGCTTTCAGAAATCTGTTTTATGCCTCCAAAGAAAACTCTTGCCCAAATATGGTTTTTTCTTAATTTATTTATGTAACACAGTGTAGAAAGCTATCAATTCATAAGCAATGGCTCTGTACAATCATCCTGCAGAGGATCCCCGTTAATTTTCGACCAGCAGGCACTTTTCCCCCCCAGAAGTGCTCACAATTAACAGGGATTCTTTTTAATATTTTTTTAAGATCAAAAAGATACATGGAAAAGAAAATAAAGTTTACCTTTCAATGCCTAAAGTGTGCACATAAAACAGGCACAAAGAAACGAATGTGTATTCCCATGATTTCTACGTCACTAATACAGCAGGAGCAACAATCTGTACAATAAAATGCAGCTGCAGAAGAAAAGAATTTCAATAACTCATCTGGAATACTTTTTAAAAAATGTTGTTTTACTTTAAAATGCATAGTGATCAGAAAAAAATGCTCAGCAAAGAGAAGCAGCTAAACCCCACAGACACAGAAAGCATCCCCCATCCTTAAAGCATATTTCAATTAGGACTTAATTTTTGTCACAAATCACAAGAATAATATACAACTGGCTAAGGAGCTACATGATAAATAATTGTGAAAGAGAATCTATCCATGCACTAGTTAAATACAGCTAACCTCTTTACAGTACACAAAAAACATTCATTAATAATGTAAAGACTGAAATGTAAAGAGAAAGAGAGAGAAAATACATTACTGATTTTATTAATTCAAGTTCAGGCATCTACTTGTGTTACAGCACAGCTGTCAAAAGGCGAGAATGAGTAAATAATAAAACAGAGTGTTTTTCTTTCCACATTATTCTATAACCGAACACCGATGGGCAGTGAAGCAATCATTCTGCTGTCCAACTCATGAGGCTGCTGTGGTGTCCTAGTTCTGCATCTGTTCAAAGAACTTGTAGGTGGGATTTTCATAGCCATTTTGCTGCATCTTGGAAAGGTGGCGCTCCTCTGGTGTCACTGCAGCATCCACCTGCCGTAAGAAGAAACAACCAGGGTCAGATTCTTGCTTAATTCACAGCATACCCCATGTTTTCCCCACTTTATGGCCATCCAACATACTTTGTACCCTCTCCTGTGCATTCAGGCAGAAAGCATCCTCTGAAACACAAAACAGCATTTGTTTGACAGGTTCTTCCCTGACCCACCCTTTTGTTTTGGGGTTTGTTTTGGTGTTTTTTTCTTTCTTTTTTTTTTTAATTAAGAGGGGAAAGTAAGTTAGCTCCCAAGCTCAGTCCACATCTTGTTAGAAAGTCTGAAAGAAAGGTGGCTGGTAAGTGATACGGACACTTCTCCACTAAAGAGAGCCTCCTAGTCCCTGAAGCCTATAACATCGCTTGAAGACACAACTGTCTCTGAAAACCCTTCTCTCCAAGTTATGCGGGACCATGAGTGGCCTCATGAACAACATCAACAGACAGTGAACAGCTTGGACAGCCATGGTTCACTTTTTCGACAGAGTAATATGCAGAAAATAAAGCAACAGGAACAATTCTGCAACTCCAACTTTTTTTTTTGCTGCAGGACTTCAAAACCAGCTGAGCAAACTCAGTAGTACCAGCTTTGTTTTTTGTTACTGGCTCAGGAAGCATCCAACTCCATAAACAAAAAAGGGGGATGCATTTTGCATCTCCCCAGTAGTCCACCATTATTAGCTTTTTCCCCCTAGAATATATATTGGTATCTGTACTTGGGATCAACTGGATCTCCAAACAAAAGAAAAAAGTTCCCTAGAAAGCTGAAGGAAGTGGCTAGAGGCTACCTTCTGTCCGTACTGTGCTCTCACATCTGTTGCAGATGCCATGGTCTCAAGACGAAGCAAAATTAATTGTAAAAAATGAAATGAGGGTAGCAAGGAAATGCCAGAGTAGCCAGGCACAAGATGAGCAAAAATCCCGTTGTACTCATGGAAACAGAACTTCTCTGGCTCCAAGGTCGAGTCTGGTTCAACTTAGTGACAAAAAGCTTGATGTGTATGTACTGGATTAAGTATTTCTACTTAACAAAAATTGACCTTTCTTGACTACTTGAAGACAGGCATAAAGACAGCTCAGTCAAGACTTCTCTGTTAAATACCTGTGGCTCCACAAATTATTTTCTTCCTCACTGAACAGTACAGAAATATAAAATGCCACCAAATTAGAGAGGGTGAGAACAGCCTCTAAATGTTAATTAGGTATTTTACCTCTGCTGTATGAGCTCTATAGCTGTTGTGTATTCAAAACCTACTGTATCCTGGCTATCTTGCTAACCACCTATATGAAAGCAGAGCTAAGAAAGCCTGCTCATCAGCTGCTTCATTTGCTACCTGTTATCTCCAGTGTTTGACAGCTCTTAAAAGAGAAGGTAAAAAGTGAATTTTACATCATCAAAAATTTAAAATAAGGAAGGTGTCTAGAACTCTACACTGAAGTACTAGGTATGAACATTTTTCCTGTGGATTCCTGTAAGTAGTGACCTTTAGGAAAAACATCCATTTACTTTTAGCATAAAAATAACTGAGAATGGAAAGTGTAGTCTCTCAAAAAGCCTCTGACAGCAGGCTAACTTACTCCAACCTTTTAAAAAAAAAAAGCAAAGGAGAAGTACTTATTATGTCTGATAGTCATTTAAAATCTACAATACTGGAAATAGCTTAGCAAGGACAGACTATGACCTTCAGTAAATTGTTTACCTGATACCCTGGAGAAAGACTAAAGGTATGTTCTTCCAGGCTTGGGACAAACACAGGCTGCTCAGCTTATTTTTGCAGCCATTCATTTTTTTTGGTAGGTTATGCCACAGGACCACCTTTCCCACAGTACCACCAGAAGATGGCTGCTCTCAAAGCGATCTTCTGTCTTGATGTTCTTTTATTTGTTACTTAAGAGAAGAAATGGTTCTGTACGTAGCATGTGTATTGCACTGCTCAGACGAACTGCTAACCCCAACTCTGATCTGTTTTCATATCTGTGCACCTTCTACATCTTCCTATCCATGTTGTAACTCTCAAACCGTATTTTCAATCAAAACCTTCTATCAAATCTCTGTTTCTTATGCAATAATTGCACATTTTTGTGAAATACCTGACTTTATGGGCCACACACTGCTTTTCCTTGCAAGCTATTGTGAAACTATCTGTAGCTGGGAGCCCTGAGCATTCCAGCAAGCCCTTGACTCCTGCCGAGAAGGAACAGAACACCAGGCAGAAAGGATCACTGGGCTGAGCTGACACAGTGCTCCCTGTGTTTCTGATTCTGCAATTTAACTTGGCCTTCTTTGCTGTTAAAAGACTGCCATTCAAAGGCTGGCTTTCTCTTTTTTTTTTTTTTTTTTTTTTTTTTTTAACTCCCCAACTTGGATTTGCATGGAGTAATTCTCTTATGCAACAGAGACAAAATACATCTATTTCTTCATGCTTTCAGGCAGTGAGATCCTGTTTCGAGATGGCACTTTTGCTTTAAGCTGCTCTTTCCACATTTCCTTTGTTTTAGAAATTAGGGGTGGAAAAATAGTGTTTTTCTTTCCCTGCCCTCCTACCTCTCCAGAGGTAGGTAGTGGTAAAAGAAACTTTTCCACTGAAGGATGCAAGCTACCCCGGCCAGCCCACACGAGCGATGAGTGCTCAGCTTAGCTGTCAACAATCATTTCGATCCATCAAGGACAGGAGAATTCCTGTGAATTTCACAGCTCATCTCCTCTTCAACCTCTGCACCCAAATCCCCACAACATTTCTATACAATGTGCTCAGCAGCCAGCGTACAACTGTGCATTCGCGTTTTTTAAGACTTGCCCATGCCTGCTGCTCAAGTCTCACCCCTGGCCTGCAGAGAGGGCAGCGGTGGGGCTGGGTGAGGGGCAGCAAGAGAGCTGCCACAACTCAGGGCAATCTGCTCTGCAAGTATCTCCAGGGGCTGTTTTGCTTCCTGCTGCTTTAACCTTTCTCCAGGGCCTGCCAACTTCTGCCTCTACAGGGACACACCATCTTATACTTGTATGCAGGGAATCAACTTCTGGCAATTCCTCGATGCTGCTGCTGTTCGGCACAGCACTTGTTTTTGATGTATGTCATCAGTGTAACAGCAGTAGGGCCTAACAGACCCATTCCATATAGGTTTTGTAGAAACATGTAAAAGGTCTAATACCCGCCCTGAGGACCATGCAAATTTAACAGTGTTAACTATTTCCACTGTGACAATGTCATTGCGTGCCATCTGCTGCTGCTAAAATTGTCACTAACATGGCCATGAAGGGAAGAGAAGAACAAAGCAGGGTAAATGGGAAGTGTTCCTGTAGCATTTTCAGCACTTACAGAAAACACAAATACAAAGCAAGAGCAGAGGAAAAGCCACCCTTCCTTTCATTCTTGAAGGGGCTGCTGTAGCATTAAGTCAGCCCTGGTTCTTGTGCACAATAACACCACGCTACAGGAGTGTCTGGTGCTTCTCCAGATGAAGAACGGAGAGACTCACAATTCACAATTAAACCCACTGACACCTCTAAAAGACTCTCTTCCAGCATGAAATTAAGGAGTAATAGAAAACTCTGGGGTTGAGGGATGAGGGGTCTCTGCGCACCAATACAGGCCTGAAAACATCTTCCTTTCTAGGAGGATCCCCCTACCAGGCTGGGATGCAAAGGAGGGGTATGCCAGAACCTGGGCTGTACTTTTTCATATTTATGCTCTAAACAACACTACTGAACCTACTGAACTCTGTCACCCGTTTTAGCTTAAGCCTCCCACTCTGTACTTCTTATTCAGGACTAGAAGATGTAATAAGCACACAGCATAACCTGATTGCAGGAAAGAAACAGGGTAAGACAACAACACAAATAAAAAAGAATCAAAGAAAGTGCAAGGCAGAAGAGACTAAAGAATTGATGAGAAACCTCGAAGAAAATCAGTGAGGAAAAGATTACAAAAAAATATGATGAAGTACAGTAAAATCAGACTGAATTTTAACACCCTTTGACAATATTCCGTATTAAAAAGCTCCACTTTGATAAAACTAATTTACAGTGAAAGTCCAATAATCTCTGAAATATGGCATTTATAGATGAAAGGGATTTAGTGAGGCTCCTACTTGCAGTCCTAGTAATTTTTTTTTTATTTCCCCATCAGCCTTTAAAATGACTAGTGCTGGTATACTAGCACCTCTCCTTCCTGTAGCTGTCTGCTGCAGGGTAATCCATCTCACCGCCAACCTACATGCACTATCGCTCATCCTGAATGTCTTCTCTTCTACTCAGTTTTACCCATTTTGACTCTGCCAAACTGTTCCTCTTGTTTCTTACAACCTCTGTCCTAGGTATTGTTCTGCCAAAAGACATGCCTTCAACCCGATTATCTCCTTGTCAGTAAATCCCTGAAGCCCTTTACCATTTTAAATTTTGCACCCATTATGGAGGTGGCAGGACTCGAAGACGGCACGTAAGGTGTGGGTACTCCAGCCCTGCTGAGAAGCAGCCTAGACACTTCTATTTTTCTATGTGACGTCTCTTGAGAAAACAGCTCGGTCAGGTCGATAACCTCTTTTGAAACCATCCTTCTATCCCCTTCTGCTCCAGCCTATGTATCTTTCACACAGGAAATCCTAACATGGAGTCAGTAAGATGGTAATGCCGCAGAAAAATTCATGTGCTGCCTCTACACACATGGGGCAGATCAAAAGCCCAGACAGGAGGGACTGGCAGCCCTCAGAGATGCACTGAACACAACACTGTTGTTTAACAACATGTAAATGGATGCTGCCCAACATACACCTGCAGATCAGACTTTGGAGAGTACTACAGCAATTTTAATGGCTTCTCTGCTACTGCTGTGAGCCCTCCCATTGTCATGTCTCCCCACATGCTCCTGCTGGAGGTGCTGCCTCCATAACAGAAAGCAAATGAGCCTTAAAGAGGATATCCTGAAAGAGGTGGAGTTCTGACACTTGGCTGGAGTCAGAGCACAGGAGAGGTAAGAACCTCTCTTTTGCCACCTGCTTTCATGGAGGAAGAAATAACCTCCTGCAGACGGCTCGGGTGGCTGCACCAGCAAAAAACACCTTCAATATGTTTGCCAGAGGTGCTATGTGCACATATAATAAGTAATTTTCCATCACTCAGTCATTTACTTACTTAACTGTGGCAGTCCTTCTGAAGAGGCTGAACCACTCTGAAACATTCATATTCTCAGACTTGGAAGAAAATTATTATGACACTTTTTCTAAATAGGACAAGTATATTCCTCCTCAGAGCTTAAAAAAAAAAAGCTACCAGGATTTTTAATAACATCTTTTGTTAAAGAAACAGGAAATGAGAAGTACTACAGTCAGAGTCGACTTTTTGGAAGATCGGTGGAACAGGACCTGTTTTCTAATCTTACATCCATTACCACAAAGTTAAATTCTCACCGTAATTTCTGACATGCAACAAAGGTTGCAAGATTTGTTAAATATACTCAGCCAACCTAGAGCTGATCTACAGTTGTTTCTACAAGTGATTTTGCTCTTTCATGCTTTTTGTGTACAACACATTAAAGGTGCACTGTTGCTAAATAAACTAATCCTCTTTAGAATTGAACAGCTTAGTTTTGGAAGACATTTTAATATTAAACATCAAATGTGTATGGATCTTTGGGTGGGTTTTTTTTTTTCCCCCAAAGTAAGTGCTAGAAAATTTTCACCAACCTAAGACAAAAATAGATGTTACGCCTTTCTTGCAGGCAAGAAGCTCAGACAGTGAGGCTATGCAGTCTGCCAAGACCACAGAGCAAGTCTGGCAGAATAAGGAATCCCGCCTGCCAACGCCAGACACAATGCAGCAAATCTACAAGGCAACATCATCTACAGTGTGATACTATAAATTGACTAATATCCTCGGCAGATCTGCATGCTATAGCTTTACGGTTGTATCTGTACATTTTTTTATTCCCTAAGTTATGCTGTCATTTTGACATGAGCTAATTGTTCAGTTCATGCATGTTGTTTCTAGTCCAACATTTCCAAGTTCACTGTCACTGAAGAAAGCTTGTAGGAATCCAGGATTACCTTTGCCACATGATTCTATCAGGTGGAGCCCACCTGAAACTTTAAGGTCATACTGCAATAATGGTATGTCCACATTCCATGTCTGATTCGAGGCTTTGGCCAACCAAGCCTCCTGGCCTATTCTGTTTGTTGCTAAATTCAGCCAAAGGAGGGTCTTAGGTTGCACAACTGTTGGCAGCAGCTATCAACTAGGTGGTTTAAAACTAAAATCTGTTTCAATTTTCTACAAAATGGGCTGGAAGCTTTCATATGGGAAGTTAAAGCTGAGATTCTTGCTTGCTATCTTCTGCCTCTCAGTCAAAATTCCGCATGGCTTGCTGTCTGCTCAAATCTCAGCCCAAATGGTCGGTGCATCTGACCATGTGTCTTTGGAGGATTTCAGACCACATGGACAATCACAACACAGACACAGGGACACACAAGCACAGGCTTAAGACAAAGGCTTACTTAAATATAAAATACTTTTAAGACCTTTCATTGCCCCAGAGAGTGGAATATATGCCTCAGGAAGCAGGTCCATCTCCAGCAAGATCAAAGTAAGGTTCATTTGACTCAAGGTGAAACCAACATAAACTGTGGTCTTGAAAATCAAAAATTTCAATCACAAGTTTAAAATACCAGTTTTGGAAAGCAAAAAAAAATATTTCAAGTGCTGGCTAATGTAAGTACTATCCACAAATCAGACACTCGCACAGCAAACCAGATATCAATACAGAAGTGGAAGAAAAGTCACATGAACCCCCTTCCAGTTCTCATAATTAAGTTTTTCTATTTTCAAAGATCCTTTCTTAAATCCAAGCAGCAGAAGAAGTATTTTAAGTTACTATAAGCTGACCACAAATTTGTTTGGTAGATTGGGAAGAGACAAGGGTTTTCATCTCGAAAATCCCATATGAGAGTCTTACATATTATTTGTTTCTCAAATATATGAGTTTCAGATTGGCCATAAATCAAAAGCTGTTGATGGCAAAAAAAAAATATCTTGTTCGGAGAACAAAAAGTAATAGAGTATCTGTATAGGTAAAACCCTTGTAGTATACAGCACAAGCCACAGAAGACCTGCCTCAAATGTTTATTTTCAAGCTAAATAAAAAATCCATGTGTGTGCATTCCTAACAACAGTAAACCAAGATTTTTCCTTTTGTGCAGCATCTGCTCATTAGCTACTCTTAAACTTCCTATAAAATGAACTTCCACATTATGAGGTGATTGGTCTGGGATAGTTCCAGAAGATATCCTCGTGGTTTTACACCCAACTTAACATGGTTTATATTGTGTCTGCATTTACAAAATAAGGCAATTTGACTCCACTCTGCCAGATGCAACCATTACAACTCTGAACATCAGGCTAGCCAAAAATGTGGTTTCTTCATTTCTAAATATTTTTATAGAGCAGCGTGTTGACTGTGTTGTACATGTGACATCAGTTGTGCTTGGTAGTCTTTTCTTACCTCCACAACCCCATGATGGATAGATGTGTACTGCTTCTTCTTCAGCATCACCAAAGTAATGACAATCACTGTTGCTATGACAACACCTCCTACCATTAGTCCAATGATGGCACCTTTATTTGAACCCACATCTTCAGCAAAGAACACCTACAAAAGAAAAATAAAGTGGCTAATAAAAAGCCCACTGAACATTTGGTCAACCTGTCCAGCTGCCACAGCAATACAAAGCCTACTGAAGTACTGCTAATTAAACAGCATTGCATGTCATCCTAACTATTCAAAACTGTATTGCTGTACCACAAAGCTCTCATAGTTAGAGAAGAGCAATTTGGGAAATCTACATTGCCTGTGGTGTAGCAGTGCTGTGGCTAAGGGGAAGACTCATCTCCATGTCTCTGCTTCACAGGGGTCTTGGAGAGTAGCTGGGTATTTTTTCTTAGGTAAGCGAGTCAAGCTAATTGCAAAATGACTGACAAGCTTGTAGAGGAGTAACCAGGGAGCACACAGATTAATTTATTTTTAGAATGCTAATCATGAAAGTGTTCATAAATCTACATCTGTGCGGCTTGTATGGACTATACCCAATGCATTTCTTCGATAAAGGAACAGCGAAGATCTGTAGGACAACAGTGAAACTTGCACACAAACAGTTGGGAGAAAATTCTGACACCTAAGAGTCAAGAGTCCAAAAATCACGAGCATGCTTATTTAAGTGACCACCAAGCGATGCATAAAGATTTTGTAGGGCAAAGGGAAAACGAGCTACACCTGAATTATGACAATACTCATATGGGACCTAGATGACATGACAGCTGTGTGAAAAACACAAAAGTTCCACTTGAATTATATGTACTGATAAGGGAAATCAACGAACAGCAAGATGCTTTACAACACATTTAATAAGACTGGCTTTCAGTAACAGGAGCAGGTATGAAAAGTGGGTGATTGTTTTCACTGTCCTGCTTTGCATTCAAGGAATATGGTGGATTATTTTACATCTATGCATACTTTACAAACCTTTTGTCCACTTGCCAATAGTGGGCTTTTTAAATTATTATTATTTTTAATGGGCAAAAGGGATTAGAGAAAAAATTACCTTCACAGAATTGTCAGACTACCTCACTCTAAAAGACTAAATACTTTGACAAGTATTTAACAAAAATGCAGAGGGAAGCAGGAAACCAGCTGAGAATTATAATGAGCTGTATAACATTTGCACTCTTTAAGACTTCTCAAAGAGGTTTTAAAGCATGCAGTATAAATATTTATATTGTTCCTAGCCATAAGCAAGAAATGTGTTTAAAAAGTTAAGAATTCACTAGAAACTACACACAATGGACAGTGTTGGCATAACCTGATGTGAAGCAATAATTTCTTCTGTCAATTTTACCTTCCCAGGACTTAAAATCTGTTACCACACTATTTCGGAAACATCCCAGCTAATACACACGTGCAACAGAGGAAGGCCTTAAGCACTCTGAGCCATGAAAATCAACTTAATGTATAGTTAAAATGTGAATGCACATAAAGGAGAAAATAACTGCAATTTCAGCTCAATTCAGAACTTTGTGTGTAAAATACAATGCATGGCTGAATTCAAAGCAATATACTAAGAAGACTGTTCAGTAAATCCTACCAGGGCACAGAAGAAGGAAAATACAGATGAAAGTATTTTCTCATTACTGCTTTTGAATTAAAGCTAATGGGGAAGGGCATCAGCTAGGATATGGCATGGCGTAAGCAAGCAATGCCTTGTAAGGCATGAGTCCAGTACCGTCACAGCAATACTGGACTCCTTCCTCAGTCTCAATTGACAAGATAACCTAGAGGACTTTTTACTAATATTTAAATAATGGTTGTACCTATCAGTAAGAATTATGGCATAAAATGCTTTAAAAAGCCCAAAAGGTCCCATTTTAAGCATGGCAAAAATTACTCAAGTGCAGGGATTGCCATGCATTCCCTATCAGCCACCATGGAATGGTATCAAACCACTTAAATGTTTTAAGTTTGCTGCTGGGAAGCACATGTAACACAGGATCTATAACTACTGTGTCTAAAATACATTCCTGCACGTTCCTTCTCTTCATTAAACTCATACTGTTTACTCCATCAGGACGTTTAACCCATCTGAGCTAAGCATGTCAGAATTTCCCAAATTAGTGCTAATGCATTTTGGATTAGCTCATCAAACTGGGAATTCTCAGTTCTCGGCATCAAAGAGATGGCAGAATATCTTTTCACACAGTGATTGCCTAGTTCAAATGCAAATTTGAATCCCATGTTAATTTTAATTTTCAGCACTACTTAGCTTTAAGAATAGATTAAGGAAAAAAGCTTTCAAGCTTAATATCAGGATATTGAAAGTCACGGAACTGAAATCTCATCATGTAATATACCTTTACAAAAGAGGAAGCAGAAAAGGTTTAGATTTGACATTGCTCTATGGCTTCTTCATTACTTATTAAGGGACCGAAAAAAGCTTTCAGAAGATGCTTGTTCTTACCTACATTGCTTTTGGTTGTTATTTTTGTGTTCCTAAGAAGCACAAACGGGGAACGATATTTTGATCCTACCTGCCCTTCACCTGTTAATAATTTAATATACATTAAGGAACAAAACACACAGATAGAGCCAAATACAAATGAAAACTAAGGCCAATGCAGGAAAACTAAGGCCAATGCAGAATTTCTTCTTAGTTCAAGCATGCAATCTTGTGAAAGGTTATGCTCCATGGAGTTCAGCCTCCTTCATGCATCACCACCATCTGTTTTGACACAAAACGAATCTATTCCTGAAGCTGCATCACTCTATTTCTTGCTGCACCATGCTGCGTGTCTCCATCAAACATTATTTTTCTTTTTTAAAGTTACTTCGCATTTTCCTTCCTCTGTTTACCTTCTCTTTAGTTATGTCCATGACAAATGGACTGTGGGACAAGTATTGTCCAAATGACTACATCCAGTCACATGACAGTGCAAGTACAGAACTGTCAGAATTTCCTCTCGTTTGAGACTTAATGGCTTTCTAGCCTCTCTGCTGAAATTATTCCAGATTTACTCTCATTTAGGAGAGAACCAGAAAAATCTTAATCCGCTCACGTGAAAACTTTGTTGGCACTTTCAGCATCCACATCACTCAGGGGAAACATGGCCATAACTGACCCACTATTTCAAGACTGAATCAGCAACTCAAAAAGCATATGCGGAAAGCATTGCTTGTTCACTCACCAGCTTTTGATGATGAACTTCATATCCTGAGTCATGTCGGAACTCCGCATCCATCTTCACTTCAGATATCTCTTCTGTTTTAACATTGGTCAACCCGGAACCTGCATTGCACCGCAATGACAATTCATTAAAGTCATCAACTCAATTATGCTTGGCTTACCTCTACCATTACAAGAGCAGAAGGCAACGGTATCATTCACACAGAGAAGGTGTGATGCAATGTGAAAGGGAACTGGGAGGAAAGTGAGGTTCATCTGATGTTTCAATCCCACTCATGTGATGCATAATGAGCTGGTAAAATTTCTCCTCTGTTAAATGTTCCTTAATCCACTGCAGGTATATTGGTATAAGCATCAAAGGCTTTCAGCATGAAACACTGCAAGAACTAAGCTGCGAGGGACCAACAGCAGACTCCTGAACTGGCTCAAGGGATGCAGACAGATCTGCTCTGACAGTCTCTTTAGCAATGTCAAGAAAATTTGGTGTTTAGGCTGAAATCTTCCTCCTCCCTAAGCTGAGGCTGCTGTGAGCTAAAAACACATACCCATGGTGTGATGTGGGGAACTGCAGATATTGCATTTTCTTGCTTCCTATGAGTCCGTACGTTTTGTACAAACATGCACAAATAAGAGTAATTAAAATGTTTGCGAAGTTTACACAGTTCTTATTTGTTTTCAGATTTCAGACTGCTCAGAATTAATATGATTCAAGTCGTGACATCTGCCTGAGAGATGATAACTGTCCCTCTTGATTAGAAACATACAGTAAAACAAGTGAGCAATGTTTGCAGCAATTTTAATTGTAGACAGTTTGGAGTCCTGTTCTTGCCTTATGGGTGCAAAAAGGAGATGATGCACTTCTCTAACTGTAAATTAGGATAGGATTTCCTCCTGGAAAATAGCCTTAGGAGAATGAGCCAGACTTAACAACAGCTAAGCAGTGCATCCTATATGTCTGTCTATGAATGTTTTGCCCTGAAAAGCTGGCTCCGGCTTATAGAGAACATACGGGTATTCATGTAGCTGGTTATTTTCCTTCTCAGTATCAACTGACTGACATATTTCTTGGAGGTACAACCACCGCAGAAGCATGGTGTTTATGGCAAGTTATTTCCTCACCCTATCTAATGTGACAAGAACAAACTGGTTGCCTTGTCTGTATTTATTTGAACATTGTATCACTCCAAGTCCTCTCTCCCAGCCTTCATGCTGATTCTTAGTATTTTTGGGCTGATCTTAAGCTCTGACGCAGAGGAAGAATCTCTTTGAAAATTCTCAACACTACTGACTGCTCTTGTGCCCCACCATCTCTCTGGACTCTCAATAAATTACTGAAGACTTGCATGTGCCAATGAGCTCCACAGTCTGAAGTAGCACTCAGTGCAAGAATTATTACCCTTTTATTGCTTTTGAATGTGTGATTTCTTTCTTCTTTAAATGCTGATTTATTTTTGTACTATGAGTCAGCAAGAACAGACCTTCCCAAGAACTCTGGACTGCACAATACCATTCTAAGTTTCTGACCATGCAAAGGAGAGAACATCATCTTCATGCAGTAAAGTATTTACGTTTATTTTCTTGAACAGCCTGACTGCCCCATAAATTCTGCCTTAGTGTCTCTTTTTTTTAAGGAATAAAGCACTTAAAGATCTGAAATTTCTTTATTAAGCATCTGATTTTGATGCCACATTACTGACACAGGTATATAATGACATTTATATAGGAGAGACCATTTCTAAATGCAAGAACCAGAAAGTACTTAAGGAACCACAGTTTGAAAACAAACCATGATGTTCTGTGAGTGAAATGCAGGAGGAAATGGAGATGAAGGAAATAAAACCCACATGGTACCTGAAAAGAGGTTAAACTTTCTATTCTTGAAGGAGCTGTGGTTAGTTTTCCAAACTAAAATAAGAACACAATTTACTCTCCTTTGCACATCATTTCAAAACAGCCCCTAGACCTGCATCAATGGGAAGTGAAGAAAATGAGAATGTGTATCTGGGTGCACAGAGGCTTGCCTCTTCAACTTCCCTGCCTTGCTGCTTTTAGTATTGAAAGGGAAGGGGGAAAACCCCAGCACTGTAATAGCAGTGCTTCACGTAGATTACCTAGCCAGGGGAAAAGGGCTTTCCCAGGACTCGGTTCACTGCCCACAGCTGTAGCAGCTGAAGAGGCAGCCAGCTCCCAGCTGCTCACCACTGTCTGCAGCCACATTTGCTGCCCCCGAGACATGCTGGCAAAAGCACCATACGGAAACTTCCCCATCTGTACAACTTCACGGTTATAGCTGGAACATTCACTGAAGCTAGAAATATTGATTAGAACACATCCATATATATATACACATATATGAGATACATCCGTGAAGAATCAACTTGTCTTTTGTTGAGGGAAGCCCTGCGTCCCAAACTCTTAGAGGTCACTGGAAGAGCTAGGAAGCACATGGGAAGCAGTGATTCAGCTTGGGGTGAATCTGGATTTCCAGAAAGCCTTTGAGAAGGTCCCCAATCAAAGCTCTGTCAGAAGCTAAGATGGGAAGGATTAAGAGGGAAAGTCCTGAATGACTTTCCATAGCTGATTAAAAGATAGGAAATGAAGTATTGATACACAGCCACTTTTCACAATGGAGGAAGGTTACCAGCTGCGTCCCACAAGGAGCTGTGCTGTGCTGTTTGTAAAGGTGATCTGGATAAGGGAGTGAATAGTGATGTGACAAAGTTTACTGACAAAAAATAAAAGAAAAAAAGAGGATAGTCAAAGTAAAACCAGCTGCAAAGAACTGCAGAAGGATATTACAAATTCTGAGTGCACAAAAAAAGGAAAATGGTATTCAACATTGATATAATGTAAAGTGGTGCTCACAGGGATACACAGCCCTAACCATATGTACACAACCATAGGCTCTAAATTAGCTCTGTTCCACCCAGGACAGAGACCTTGCAGTCACTGGGGATAACTCTCTGTGGGCAGTTGGCTCAGTAGCAGTCAAAAAGGCAAAGATTAGGTGTGATTATGAAGGAACAGAGAAAACAGAAAACATCTTTACACCACTGTATAAATGATGCATCCTCATTTTAAATCTCGCTATCCATTCTGGTCACCCCAAACGAAGGCAGAACTAGAAAAGATACAAAGCAGAAAGAGACAGACGATCACTAGTATGGAATGGTTTCTCTACAGGAAGGTCTAGACAAATTGGCAGTCTTCAGACTGGAAGAGACAATGAAGGGGGAACACTACAGACGTCTATATGACTGTGAATGACAAGGAGAAAGTCTACAGAAAATGGTTATTCATTATTTCTTCCTACAAAGGTACAGAACACCAATGTGGCTATGACACAGCAGATTAAAAACTAAAAAAAAAAAGTGTGTATATATATACACACACACATATATAGCTTGGCACAATGCAAAACTGGACTGTGGAACTCACTGGCACAAATCATGAGGATGTTCAAAATACAAATTAACAAATGCAAAGAAGAAAGGTTCATGGAGGGTTACTAAACACAATGGTGAAAATACAGTTTCCAGTCCTGGAAGTTTATCAAAAGCTGTCTGCCAAAAACTCAGTGGATGTGCCAGGAGTTTAAGGCAGAGGTGAAGGCTGCAAGTATCCTGTATGCACCACTGCCAGAGGCAGGATAGTGGGCTTGGGTACTTCTGCTCTTGGGCTGTGACCACTTTCAGAGAAAGCAAGCTCCAATAGCTTAGACCCTGGGTCTTTGTTAGCTTCAGTTAAACAGAGCCAAATGCCCCAGAGGCAGGAGTTACAGCAGCATTTCAGGGGGCAGAACAGGTCAGGAGCCTTCACATCAATGAGCCATAGAGGGTGGTAAGTTCATCAGTAGTCTCAGCTGCTGGAAAAATGCAGGCTCAGGCTTCCCTAAAGTCACATTTCTTTGAGGGTTCTCTTCCCTCCTCCCATTCCTATCAAACAGTAATGCTGGAGCCATATTTCCAGTATGCAGGAGGTTAAACAATCTTTTGCTTTGAGACCAGGCAGAATTTTTTTGCTTTGGGCTGTGCAACCAAGGTCTAGTGGTCTACTTGGCCTTACTCAGCAACCCACAGAAATGCCATGGGATCTGAACACAAAGTAGGACCTGATATTAGGAAGTTAATGCTGTTAGACTTCCTAAAATTCGTCTGTGGCAGCTAGTTTAGCACAGGAAAAAGGTCAGAAACAGAAAAATTATCTCTTGCACTAACAAAGTTGATAGCAATTTTTGCCTTCCTCCTTGTCTCCCTTAGAAGCAAGGAAAAAGACTTAAAAGTACAACTAGGGTAAATTGGTAACCTTCTGCAAATAATTGATTATACAGTAAGAGAAGCATGACTCTGCACTGGAATCAATTACATACCCGGTATAAGACAAGAACATATATGAATTTAATATGCCTTTTCACCACATTACATTATAGAATTTAGACTTTATATTTAACAGACTTCTCTATTTCCAGTTCATTCACTTTCTGTCCTGGTGACTACGTAATTAGACTTACATGCTAAAATCAAAGATTCATTCTTCAAAGGTAGTAACTGAAGAAGGAAAAACTGAAGAAGGAAAAACTAACTGAAGAAGAAAAAAAAGGGTCTTTCTAAAACTTTTATCAGAGGTGTGTGAACCAGGTATGATTCAAACAGCTAAGGGCTGTCTAACACCACTTACTCTTGCATTGAAGACAAGCATACGAAGAAAAGTTAACTAGAGTGGTCAGACTTTGGAACAGGCTGCCCAGGGAGGTGGTGGAGTCACCATCCCTGGAGGTGTTCAAGAAACGTGTAGATGTGGTGCTTAGGGACATGGTTTAGTGAGTTAGGTGGTGTTGGGTTGGACTTGATGATCCTTGAGGTCTTCTCCAACCTTAATGATTCTATGATTCTATGATAAGACAAGACCTTTAACTCTACTCAAAATGATGGCTTTTTCATTATCAAATCTAAAATACACAACTAAAACACATGTAAAACTAAAAAAAAAAAACCCTAAAAGACAATGTAAAAGAAGTGAGGGCAACAGCCTCACTGCAAATTCACGAATAATGATAATTATTAATGCTTTTTCTTCTAAATTACATACTAACTTTATGGAGT